TTCTGTTAGGGGGGCCAGATGCATTTGTCCTCCAAGTATTACACTAGACTGCCAGCATTAAGAAGCAAAAGACAATTTTGAAAACCAATAAATTATTTGTGCAATGCTTTCAGTCACATTTTACAGTTTTTACAAATATGAAACTCAGTCTGATTTCTTTAGACTATCTTGTTTCCACAAACACTTTCCATTATTTTCCTTTTATTGTTTTCCGTCAACTTTGCTTTTCACCAACTGAAGCGACTCGATAGTTAAAAGTGCATCAAAAAAGTGTGCTTACGTTTGTGTGTCGCCTGTTCCCAGAGGACAAATTTTAGCCCAAACATAAGAATGCAATTAATATTTATAATAGTAATAAGAACAATACATTTATTTCAAACCAAGTAGCATACCGCCCCTGACTGGTAAGTTTTTTTCCCCAAATAAATTAACGCCAGAGGGCAGTAAAATTGAGAACCTAGAAGTACTCTACGGAAGTCGCCGTTATTTCCCACAGTAGTAAAATCCATTATTTTTTTTCTTGGTGTTTTACTGAACATGACTATCTCTGTCTCACATCAGCCTAAGTGAAATCCATGCGCCTAGCGATTTCAGCTTTTCAAACGCATTAGTCCGCTTAAATTAGCTTGAAACTGTATTTAAGGACAACAACGAGAAACTTTGGCTTCACAAACCACTGTGGGTGGGATACTACAAGTCATTGTTTAGACGAAGTTCAGTTTAATTAAACCACCGTAATATTACCTTTTTCATCAGTGCTTCCTGTTTTCTTCCAGTTTGTATTAGGGTTTAATGTCATATATCATTCGGCCTTTATGATGTTACTTTTTAGGAATAAAACAATTTTAAGCATAACATTACTACTGTCAGTGGGTAGCCTGTCAACATGTAGCCTACTTGATATTGTTTTGGAATAACTATTATACAACAAAAAGATTTTGTTATGAAACAGAACATTATCCTCTGCACTTAGGCTATTCAATTAAAAACTTAAAACGGACATTAAAAACCAAAATAGATTAGATACAGTGTTGCCAATGTTGATACTATTAGGAAGACACGCACACGTACGTAATTCTATTAATCAATGAATTTTAACCTTAATGTGTAATTTTTCTTGACAACACGAATCATAATGACGAAAGATGTATAGAATAAGAATCATTACATAAAAGATGTTGATATCTTATCCACATTACCTTTAGTAAGGCACACAGTGCATATACCACACTAACCACAGATACGTATGTGTTTATAAAAACGCGCTTGCAGGAATAGGTTCAATATGAGTAACCCTGACGCAGACCTGCTGCAGCGTTCCTTTTGGACTATCGATCCTTTATGAATGTCATGAGCACCTAGTGATCTCGGGATCCAGGAAGAGCTTATAGACACGCCTCCGAATGCTCACTGCGCCAGACCCCTGCAAGAGCCACTGTCAAATCAGCTTTCCTTTTTCAGAGCGTCTTTTTGAGTAACATTTTAGGTGCCAGACATTACTGTCAACTAAGTTTACCAAGGGTATTTACTACATTTCTTATGTCCTTATAGAACAACAACTTCAAAATCAAGGTAAGACATAATATATAGCAACGCAACCTCGGGGATGCAAAACTGTGTATGAAGTGGATGAAAAACAGTGTACGTGCTATACTTTGTATTTCTTGCACAAATGCTTTTTTTGAGCACTGCACTCAAAGTTCAAAGCGTCGCTTAAACGCCAGAACGACGTTTATCGACATTACTGAATTTGTATATTTTACCTTTCATTCAACTCAGGAATCATTTCTCCAGCACACATGAAAGAAACAGACGTCGGTTAAATTCTATACGGGGCGAGGTATCTGAAGCCGGTCACATCTGTAAAAAAGGGGGATTTATCGTACGTCGGGAACTATGTCACCCCGGACATCCTGCAAAATTGGATGGACGGTGTTTTTTTACACTTTCATCGGATTGGCGTCAGGGTCCGGCCCGATACATAGAGCACTGCGACTGATGAGAGAATATCCACTTATTGACGGGTAAGTGCTTTTATACCGGCACAAACTGGGAATGCCTACACTGGGATGTGACAGGCTGAACCGAAAGCGGAGCTGCCCTTTGACGCCAGTCAGCAAGAAGAGACGCGTTATGAATAGTGTGTTGACGAAGAAGTGCTGGGACAAAGAAAAACAGCTGTCTTACTTACAGTAGTAATTTTGACTTTTTTTACTTGACAGAAAGTTTACATCGTATGTTGGGTTGGAAAAACTGTGTCTTTTTGATATATTTGTTTACGTTACCTTTACAGACACAACGACCTTGCTCTGCAGTTAAGAATCCTTCATAATAACAGATTGAACCAAATCGACCTACACAATATTAGCAATGTTGCCACAGATATAAATCGTCTGAAAGAAGGACACATCGGAACACAGGTAATTCATTGCAGAAAAATATGGCCTATATCCATTCTCGTTTATTGTATAACCTAGTAGGATATTTTGAATGTATTTTAAATATTGTAACATATCGAAAACAACAAATGCAGCATTAAAAGCACGTTAATTAGGCTTACGGTCAAAGTGGGACCTGGAAGTAGTTGGTTTGGCCTGACAAATATAATTGCCTTTAGCAAGAACACGTGACTCCTACTGTACCTGTAAGCGAGCCTCACCCGTTACTTACCGGTGTTTGTTAGGAAGGGAATTATTATGTGTGGATGAATAGATACAGCTGTTCTTGTAACATCGTGTGGGAGAATTCTGTGCTTTAGACTCATTCCACAGCTGGTAGGAATGCAGTGCTTAGCTCTTCAGAAGCGGCTGAATAATATCTGACAGATTCTGAAATTTAGTATAGTAGACGAGGAAGTGGTTTGCAATAATGGTAATTAAATGAAGGCAAAAAGAGGCCAAGTGGACTTAAAGTGTGGCATCAGTGACTTTTGGATTTTAGCCTGTGGGTTTTGTTTTGAATATTTTCTTTATGTGCCGTGTTGCTGTTTGTGTGGAAAATGGTACCAGATGTGAACGCAGGGGTGGGGCTGCCTCTTGGGGGGTGGAGGAATGTCTGGCAGATTTGGGTAATTCAGGTAATTCAAGTCCAGAGAGTAAAAGTCCAGACCAAGATTTTGTTTCAACCAACCAGTTGAATACTCAGTAATTGTGACTCTCTAAGCTCAACTGGTTGGTCGAAACAAAATCTTGGTCTGGATTTTTACTCTCTGGACCTGAATTACCCAACTCTGATGACTGTGGTAAAGTTTTATTTACATGGTGTCTTCTTTTGTAACATTCTGCTTGTTTAATTCTCTGGCCAAGGGGTACCTCCCACCATATGGAATATCATTCCAAGGTGATTGGGTTGATTATGGATTTGATAGTGTGATTCTCACGGTTACAGTGTGATGTCACCAGCTTTGAATTAGAACCTTGAATTGATTTGTTATGGGTGCTTTTCCTTGGGTTGTTTTTTAAGTTTAGTTTTGCTGGGCCAGCCCTTAAATAAGTACGTATGATAATTTTCCATTTTTATGCATCTCTGATGCATATGTGAGATCCTCATTTGGTTTGTTTATGGCCTGCTGTATAAATAAATATCACTATAAACTTTGTTTGGGATCCTTGTCTGGAGTGTAAGGGATTTTCTCACCTCTCTAAAATTTGGAGTGCTGTTGTTTCCCTGCTAGGTGTGTAAGTGGCGATGCAGCCATGAAAGGCTACATGAACATTTTTATGAGAATTTCCATCCAATCAGTGTTTGTTTGGAGTAGACTTCAAAGAATTGTGAGGAAGACAATAAAGTTAGTCGTATTTAATATATGTCAGCATGAAGCCATTATTTTTCTTAGTAAATATTTTCAATGTGAGTTCACAGATTCCAGGTTCCAGAATACACCTGGCTTCAAATAGCACACAGCAACTCTAGGGAAAGGGCCAGAAAAACTATCAAAAAATAGAGTCCCATTTTTTACCATTGCTTGTCACTGGGACCGTACCCTGAAGGGTCTGCCGATTGTGGCTTAGCTGCAGGTAAATGTACCTTTTAGCCTAATTTAAAGTGCAGAAATGGACATTCCCAAGGTACAAACAACATTAATCTACCCCCAAAGGTACAAAAATGTTCCTCATAGTCCATTTCTGTATCTTAAAAGGTACATTTACATTTCTCCAGTAAGTTGCATACAATGGGTGGATTTTACCTTGCTACCAAAGTGAACCAATGGAACGGAATAGTTGTGTTTGTTATACGTTTCAGCTTAGTTTGTTGATGTTTCATGACCAATCAGGCCTTAGAAGGCCTGGTAGTTATGTTTTATCTACTGGTTGCTCTGTGTGCCGGGGGTGACTTGGTACCAAGCGCCAGAGTGTGATGGGAGCGCTTTGCTGAACTTGCTGGAGACAGCCTCGGCTTCTAGACTCTACATGAGATATGTATATAGATATTAATTATATGACATTGAATCAGTGTTAATGTTTGATTAATGATTAACACATTGACGTATTGTCTCTGAATCACTGAAAATACATGGTTACCATATGATTAGTATGATTAACATAAGTATGATTAACATGATACGATCAATTGCATATAACATATTATATATTGACTACTACTATTCTATTAAGCTATAACTCTTTGTGCACCAGTTGGGGTGGCTTCGAGTCTCTTCCTGCAATGGTTTCTCCCCCCCTTTGCTCCACTGTCTGCCCCTCCAAGGTCCGAGCTTCTGCGGAGCCAACTGCAGGCAGCTATCACAAAGCGAGGTCACACAGTATTCAAAACAATCTCTTCTGGCCTAAGGCCTAAGACATAACAGACCCAATATGCCTCCCCTCCCGGGCCTACTAATGTCCAATTTTACTTCCACACATTCCCAAGGTACAAACAACATTAATCTACCCCCAAAGGTACAAAAATGTTCCTCATAGTCCATTTCTGTATCTTAAAAGGTACATTTACACTTGAGGGTACAGCCACAGTGACAAGCAAATTTACAAATTGGTGCTCTTTTTTCTGAACGTGTATAATGAGGAGATTTTCCTTGACTAGACAGTAAATTTTGTAAACTTGAATTTTGATCACAAGCAAGAAAGGCAAAATATTCTGCCATGAATATGCTGCTACAATCTATTTTGACTTCATGGTGTGATTGTGAGGCCCCCATGTGTTTTCACGCTGTAGCTCATGCAGTCTGCTCTCGGCAGATGTTTTCATGCTGTAGNGTCTGCTCTCGGCAGATGTTTTCACGCTGTAGCTCATGCAGTCTGCTCTCGGCAGATGTTTTCATGCTGTAGCTCATGCAGTCTGCTCTCGGCAGGTGTTTTCTGCCTATGTCATGTGCACCGCCCAGGAGAAGGATGCGGTCAGACTCACCATGGAGCAGATTGACGTGATCCACCGCATGTGCAGCGAGTATCCTGAGCTCGAGCTGGTCACCTCAGCCCAAGGTATCCCTCGTGTTTCTGTGCCTCAGCGGAATACTGGTGAATTGAGTCAATCAAGTCTTCATGTTGTCCTTTTTTCTTTTTTTAACACGTTATTTATTAGAACCTGCCATATGTTCATGCAAAATAATATTGATTTTAATAGAGTAGTTGTAATGGGGAAAATTCATTAAACCAATCTCAGAATTGAGGGCTGGAATTATTATTTACTTGCACAAAAATGTTCTGAGGGCAGAAACAAAAATGATTGGTTGAGAGACATAACCAGTCACATTGTAGAGGACGTGGGTCCAAGCCGCTAGAGGAGGCAGGACCAACCAATCAGATGTCTTGGTCCCACCTCCTCTAGTTGCTTAGACCCACCTCCTCTACAATGTAATTGGTTATCTCTCTGAACCAATAATTTTTCATTCTGCCCTCAGAACATTTTTGTGGAAGTAAAACTCCCACGAGCAACAGGAAAATTTATGTAATGAGAAGTCTGCAAGCTTCCTTGTAGTTTATCACCCTGATCAAGCTGACAAGAGTACAGAAAGTATTGCATAAATATGCACCACTGCGATGACAGACCACTCTAATGTGAACTTATCTCGTGGATGCATCCTCATTTCTGTCTGTGCATTAGCAAGTTTTCCAAGATTGTGTTATCCAGTTAAACTGCTGTGGTGGGGTGGGTGGGTTAGCTGGCCTCTTGTTCTGTCAAGCTTTAAAGCACTAGGCTGTAGTCAGTGGCATGAATTCCATATGCTCTCCATTGTCCCAGCCACTGCATTGTCTGTCAGTTCCTCATTGACACTCTGCAGGTCTGAGAAACTGCACAAAGATTGCCTGCTTGATAAGCATCGAAGGGGGACATTCCATAGACAGCAGCCTAGCCGCCCTGCGAATGTTCTACCGGCTGGGCGTGAGGTCCATGTCTCTGACGCACACGTGCAACACCCCCTGGTGAGGAAGCGCTGTGTCATTTTGTCCTCAGGCTGGGAAACACACACACACACACACACACAAACAGAGGCTTCCAGTCCAAAGTTGACATGTTTCTGGTTATGTAGAGCTGGAGCTCTTACCAGACTTATGGTACAGTCACATTATGACCATAAGTCACATTAGAGTCATAGGTCTTGTGAATAGTGAATATATTTTTAGAGCATTGTGCAGGCATTTATCCTTTATCCTTTTGTATAGCAGGTTACTGTAACAGTTTGGGCCTGGTTCCTTGCTCCAGGGTCTTTCACAAGGGCCCCTCCTGGGATTTGGTCTCTCCTCTTTCTTTGTCTTCTGAAGGTGTCCACTGAACCACAGTGTAAATATAAAGACAGGCTAACCCTCACATATTAAGGAGGTTCGACTCTTTCCTAGTAAAGCAATTGTGCTTTTTTGTTCAATTCAGGGCAGAATCATCTTCACGCATCTATGAATTTTATCTGAGAAAAAACAATAGCCTAACACATTTTGGAAAGGTAAGACTCCTACTTACACTTGAATGGCTGTAGAAATGTGTTGGTTAACTGATATTAAGTTATATTTCTGAGGGTTATGATGACAGCACAGTGAAACGCATATATCCGGTGTTGCAGGAAGTGGTGTCGGAGATGAATCGGTTGGGGATGATCATCGACCTGTCCCACACCTCCTGGGATACAGCTGAGAATGTTCTGGAAGTCTCCACAGCCCCCGTCATCTTCAGCCACTCATCTGCCTTTGAAGTGTGCCAGCACCTGCGCAACGTTCCCGACTGGCTGCTTGGAATGCTGGTGAGACTGCCCTGACTGATTGTGGACGACTGCGTGGTCGACTGCGTGGACGAATGCGTGGACGACTGCGTGGACGACTGCGTGGACGAATGCGTGGACGAATGCGTGGACGACTGCGTGGACGAATGCGTGGACGACTGCGTGGACGACTGCGTGGACGAATGCGTGGACGAATGCGTGGATGACTGCGTGGACGACTGCGTGGCAAAACTGACTATTTCTGATATTAGACTATATGTATCAATGAGAACAGCAGGCATAATAGTCTTCTAGTCATAATTATTTGACACGGTCCAAGTCTAAGTAAAGAGTTTTATGTCATTTTCATGTATTAACACATGGGGGGGGGGCTTCTAACCACCTGTCCATTACACCTTGTTCCAGAAAGAAAACCATGGGATTATTATGGTCAACATGCACAGTGGGTTTGTGGCCTGTGGTAATAAGGGAAATATCTCCATCGTGGCTGGTGAGAAATATTCTTTTAATTTATAATCAAATTCACATTTGCCCTCTTAGACAGATGAATAAAATTACAAGAGAGAAGTAATATTTCGAGTAATAAGCTTTTTTTTTCTTATAGATCATTTTGATCACATCAGAAAAGTGGCAGGAGCTGAATCAATAGGAATCGGGGGGGATTACGATGGTGCTTCCATGTAAGAATATAGTGTAACATTGTTTAGTATATTAACAATTATCTGTATATTGTGAAATATTTGTTTATTTTTTGGGCGAGTTTCATTTGTATCATGATATATTGATGTTGACAAATATCTCTTCTGGAAGATTCCCTAATGGGTTGGAAGATGTCTCCAAGTATCCTGCCTTGATCCAGGAGCTTCTGCAGAGAAACTGGACCGAGGCTGAGGTGGCTGGGGTCCTGAGACTAAACTTCCTGAGGGTCTTTGAAGAGGTGGAGGAAGTAAGATGTGTACACTGTGATGAGAGAAAGCCACAGACGCAAACTTGGACCAACAAAATTAACAAGGGAACTTCAGTCCTGTTTTAAATCTGTGAAAATCCTGAGCTATACTGTATGTTGGTTTTGCTGATATTTCTGTATCATAACTTTCAATCAATCTTCACTGCAAAACTATCATAGCCTTGGTATCTCATTCATGGTAAATTTCATCAGCACTAATTTAATTTATATATATGCTATGCCTTTCTAACAAACAGCAGCAAACATCCATCCACCTTCCTACCCTGACAGGGTCTCGGGGCCTGTAGCCTATTACAGGTAGCTTTTTCGCTCCCTCCCATCTCCCTGCCAGAGCAAAAATGTGGACTGTCTGGCAGGGAGCAAAAACATGGACCGACTGGAGGTCTCTGAGGACTGGGTTGGGAAACACCGGTATAGAGCATAGAGGTTCTAAGTGGTCCGAGCCCCAAACTCCAGTTAGACAAACTGCATGAAGAGGGAGCATTCAAACATCACGCACAGAGCAGAGGCGGGATTCAAACCCTGAACCCTGGAGGTGTGAGGCAACAGTAATATGGGGCAAACGTGAATACTGGTGACGGATGGAATTTACCATAAATTTTTTTTTTTAAACCAACAGTTTCCATCTGCTAGTGAGAAATGTTCCAGGAAAAAGGTTATTATAGTGATACATAATTGATGACTCTACACTTATCATGAATTATGTATCACTATAATAATCTTTTTCCTAGAACTCTTCTTAATAGCAGATGGAAATGATAATTGACTCTACACACCCAGGTGGGGAATGTCATGGGTGCGATGTGAATTGGGTGGCAGCCAAGGGAGACCCTGGTGGACCAATCCCCGGCTGACTAAACTGGCTTTCACGACATGGAATGTCACCTCTCTGGTGGGGAAGGAGCTTGAGCTTGTGCGTGAGGTTGACAGATACCGGCTAGATATAGTCGGGCTCACCTCAAAACATAGCGTGGGCTCTGGAACCAATCTCCTGGAGAGGGGCTGGATGCTCTTTTCTTCTGGAGTTGCGGCGGGTGAGCGATGCCAGGCGGGGGTGGGGCTACTGGCATGGACGTAATTTCCAGGGGGGTTAGGGGGGTCATGACCCCCCCAATAATCAGATCCAGCCAATATAACCCCCCCAATAATCATGTTTCCCCCGTAATGGGTGGAGACCTCGACCCCCCAATGTTCCAGCCAAAGTTACGCCCTTGGCTACTGGCATTAACATTGAAGTTTACCCTGGTGAACAAGTGGGCTGTCTCCCTGCACCTTCGGGTGGGGGTAGAGATCTCCGGACTCCCCGGTCTGAACACGAATGGTGTTCTGTTGTTGTACTTCTGTGATAATACATGGTTTGTCCATAACGAACACCGTATTCGAGCATAAGGATGTCCATAGGTGGACATGGTACAAAAATTCTCGGGGCTACAGGTCGATGATCGATTTTATAATCGTATCAGCTGATCTGCGGCCTTATGCCTTGGACACTTGGGTGAAGGGAAGGGCAGAGCTGTCAACTGATCACCACCTGGTAGTGAGCTGGCTCAGGTGGCGGGGGAGGAAGCCGGTCAGACCTGGCAGGCCCAAGCGCATAGTGAGGGTCTGCTGGGAACGTCTGGCAGAGGCTCCTGTTCAACAGATCTTCAACTCTCACCTCCGGCAGAACTCCAGCTGTGTACCAGGGGAAGTTGGGGACATTGAGTCTGAATGGACATTGTTCTGGACCTCCATTGTGGAAACGGCCATATGGAGCTGTGGCTGCAGGGTGGATGGTGCCAGTCGTGGCGGTAACCCCCGTACCCGGTGGTGGACACCAGAGGTGAGGGGGGCTGTCAAGCTGAAGAAGGAGGCTTACTGGGAATTATTAGCCCGGGGGTCTCCGGAGGCAGCTGATGGGTACCGGCAGGCCAGGCGGAACGCGGCTCGGGTGGTTGCGGAAGCAAAAACCCGGCATGGGAGGAGTTTGGTGAGGCCATGGAAAGTGACTCTCGGTCGGCCTCAAAAAGGTTCTGGCAAACCGTCTGGAACATCAGGAAGGGGAAGCAGCTCCTGGTTCCTACTGTTTACAGTGGGGAGGGGGTGCTGTTGACCTCACCTGGGGACATCACCCGGAGGTGGAAGGAACTCTTTGAGGACCTCCACAACCCTGCCTCAGATACATCTACACGCACCGCCTTGGAATCATCAGAGGGCACGGGGCCAGAGGGGGCTGGGGCGGACTTGCTCATCGCTGAGGCTGCCAGTATGGTTAAAGAGCTCCTTGGCGGCCGGGCCCCGGGGGTGGACGAGATTCGTCCAGGGTACCTGAAGGCTCTGGATGTTATGGAGGTCAGGGACAGTGCCGCTGGATTGGCAGACCGGGGTGGTGGTCCCCTTATTCAAGAAAGGGGACCGGAGAGTGTGTTCCAACTACAGGGGGATCACACTTCTCAGCCTCCCTGGGAAGGTCTATTCCAGGGTGCTGGAGAGGAGGGTGAGATCGACAGTCGAATCTCAGATTCAGGAGGAACAATGCGGTTTTCGTCCTGGCCGTGGAACACTGGACCAGCTTTATACCCTACTGGAGGGGGCCTGGGAGTTTGCTCATCCAGTCTACATGTGTTTTGTGGACTTAGAGAAGGCTTACGACCGGGTTCCCCGAGGTGCTCTGTGGGGGGTGCTTCGGGAGTATGGGGTTCAGGGCCCGCAACTGCAGGCAATTCGGTCCCTGTATGAACGGAGCAGAAGCTTGGTCCGCATTGACGGTAATAAGTCGGACGTGTTCCCAGTGCGGGTTGAGCTCCGCCAGGGCTGCCCTTTGTCATCGGTCCTGTTTATAATATTTATGGACAGGATTTCTAGGCGCAGTCAGGGTGTTGAGGGTGTCCAGTTCGGTGGCCTCAGGATTGCCTCGCTGCTTTTTGCAGACGATGTCGTCCTGTTGGCTTCATCTTCTGGGGACCACCAGCGAGCTCTGGGGTGGTTCGCAGCCGAGTGCGGAGAGTTGGTAGAGGTGGCTGGGGAGAGGGAGGTCTGGGTATCTCTCTTGCAGTTGCTACCCCCGCAAACCCAGACCCCAGACAAGCGGATGGTGATGGATGGATGGATGGATGGATGGATGACTCAGTATCTCTACATTGTTTTGTCCAATGACCAATAACCTTCTTACTCCCTACTTTGCATTTCCAGGTACGAGACTCATTGAAAAGGATGAGACCGAATGAGGCTGAGATCCCTTTGTCGGAAGCAAACAACCCCTGTCGCCTGATTTTAAAAAGGCCCAAACTAAACCCGGTTACTAACCGGGCTTTTTCTCCAAGTGCCAGTGGTAGTTTGAATATACTTGTTTTGATCTTAGTGATGGTGTTTCACGAGTCCAGTCAGGCTCTTATGTGCTGTGGACTGTGAACCAAAGCTGTGGAGAGCAAAGCAGGCAACCAAGGTTTCCATTTCTCTTTATCTATGTTAATTCTTTTTAAATTATATAACCAGTGACCTATATGGCAGAGGTACCATTATGTCGCAGGAAATGCTTCAGTTTCCTGTAGAGGCATCATGGGGGTCCTCAGTGGGGGTCCTCAGTGGGGGTCCTCAGTGAGAATCATGTTGACCTTGTCCACAGGATAAGTGGGATGTAATGTTTGTAGTACTAGATAAAAATCTACATTTTAAAGCAGCGGTGACCTCCGACAATTTGAAGATTTCTGATCCTCAGCCGAATAGTTTTTGAAGAAGTATATGTCACTTTAACTGTTTGATAATAAGTAACTCAGTTTTTATCTATTTATACAGTATACAGTCATGGCTGTTAGTTTTATAATCCCACACATTGAGCATTTTTGTTTTCACACATTGCAAGTAATGAATTTTGGTAACAGTTTAGAGGCTGCTCCTAAACCTTTAAAACTGTTACTAATCATTTGATAATTTATTAATAGATGATTCACTCTTTAACGAATTAAAAACTGTATTGCGTCATCTGAAATCACGCATGGTATTTACAAAACAAGCTTCTAAATCACTTGCAAATATAAAACAGTGGGTAACTAGACATACCTAAAAGGAGTTATTACTAAACATTTATAAGGTCTTTACTAAACACTGTGCAAGACAGGAGTAGGATGTCTTTGTAAGACATTCTAAAATTTAATTGTAAGTGGATCTTTTCATTTAATAATATATTACTGTATGATTAGTAACAGTTTAATAGTAGTTAAGGAGCAGACTTTAAATTACTTTTAAAATTAATGTATATATATATTTTTTTCATTTACACTGTTGGATTAATATTTTATTGCAAAAATTATGCTTGGTTCATTCCAATTACCAAAATGGATGGAGCTTAACTGTACGGAATGTTTAAATAAATATGTTGCCATATTTATCTAACATGCCCTATAGTAGAATTCTTTCTTTTATTATTTTAAAGTCATGACATTGGGATTTAGAGAGACTCTTTGATTGATGACGGTACGTCTGTATAGAGCAATAGATAGTGTAGCTTCTGTTCATGCTGTAATCTTGCTCTGTAAACATTCACGGTCGCATAGACATGTCACGCTTCCTGATTCACAGAAGAAGCTTGTAATTAGATGTTTGGCCTGTTTTGAACACTTCTTCCTTCACAAATTACGGACTGGCTAAATGCAGCATTACTCTGTGCTTATATATGCAAATAATCACCTCCTGTTTTGTATTTTGTTCTTTCTAAAGTATTTTCCTAAGAATGATGGGAGCGCACACAATAAAGAAATGCTTCTTAATAGATTAAAATATTTTGAAAGATACCCCAATCAATTTGAAACCTAAATACGATGCTGACTGCCAGTTTTATTTAGGAAAGCACAGCCATAGGTGTGGTTTAGTAACTGGAATATAGTTAAACAAAATCCATCCATCCATCCATTTTCTGTACCCGCTTGTCTTATGCAGGATTGCGGGGGTCTGGAGCCTGTCCCAGAGGCTACGGGCACAAAGTAGGGAACAACCCAGGCTGGGGCCCCAACCCATTGCGAGGCACATTCAGAATTCTCCGGTTCACCTTTCTGTCTTTGGGCTGTGGGAGGGGAAACTGGAGTACCAGGGGGAAACTCCACAATGAGACGGACATGCAGCATTCAAATTCCACACACAGGGAGCCTGGAGTGGCGTCTCAAACTCTGGTCCCAGAGGTGTGAGACACAGTGCTAACCGCTGCAACAAAATCATGTTCCATTTTAGATTTATTACCCTGTTCCTTTGAAAAGCCAGATTCTTTCAGTTGTTTCAGTAAGTATTCATCCATAATCACACATTACTGTGATTGGTGACCTGGTGTCTCTGTATGATTAAGGACTAGCATCCGATCCAAGGTGTCCCCTTCCTTGTGTTCTTTGCACCCCGATATATGCTTCATGTTCCCTGTGAACCCGATATTCAATAAGCCTCAATGAAAATGATGGATAAAAACGTAACGTAATAACAACAAGAGATTGTTACCTTTGTTTCCTTTATTGTTTTTTTTTATGTAAATATTCCGTGTAGTGTAGGCTTTCTACAAATACTGTGTGCATATATTTTGACTTTTAGGATGGGAAGAGAATTTAATTAATGCGCTTTTCTAATTTCGTACGTGACAGGCAGAATTTAAAAAAAAAACACCACCTCCCTGTAGTGTGTGTTTACATAATTCACTCTAACCTCAACAAACACTGATATTTCACAGAATTTATTTGTCTGTTTGTCATTTATAAACAAACTCGTCCCTCCCACAGCTATCAAACAGACTAAAGGGGTAGTTCAGAGCAAATAAATAAAAATAATAAATATTCTCCCCTTCTGTGTACAAAAAACATCCAACAACTTCCACATGGAGACTGCATTCTTGTCATGACCAAATAAACACAAATGCCCATTTGCTAATATGGAAAATCATGTTTCATATGTTTTAACATATATAAACACCTTCAGTAAAATATCAGTTTGCTTCTGTTAGTTATAAATAAAATAATACATGGTAGGTTTTTATGTGACAATTATCTCAAGAGTGTATGTACTGCATGAAGTGATGTCGAAGTTGATCAGCCATAACTTTGACTCGCATTATATCTAAGTACCTTGCGTAATTCTTTCGTGCAAGATATGGTTCCAGGCAGAAGGCAGCATGTATAGAAATCTGAGCAAAATCTGGATTTTCTGTGGTCCTCATTCACAAAAGTCTTTAAGAATCCATGATTGATGCGATCAGAGACTATAGTTCAAGCAAACCTGCGGGTTTGTGCTAAGGCTAATCCTGTCACTGCCCCCTCACTGTTGCGGAATGTCTTCCGTGGATTGGTGACCACTCCCCCCCACCACTCGGGCTGACATCCAGTCATCACGAGTAGATGGTGATAACCTCTCTGCCGCCTCCTCGCACCAGTAGCACTCGCTCCAATCCCTCAGTCAAAACTTCTAGGAACTCCATGTCTGTGTTTGAGTTAAGGAAGTAGAACAGAGCTGTGGCCGTCAGTCTGCTGCATCCCAGCATGACTGCGGTTCTCTGGCTCCCCAGCTGAGATAAGATGCTTCCGTCTCCGTTCGTCATTTTTGAGAAATTCATCTGAAAACCAGAAGTTCTGCTTCCCATCGTCCTTCTATATCAACCCTTAACTTCTGAATGCATTTTCATCCTTGTTTCTGTCCATTATTCTGAATGTTGTTTACGTGTATGCTTTAAATTTACAGCTCAAGTCTGTATATTTCAATTCAAAAATGTATTCATTTAATTTAATTTTGAATGCATTTATTATTTGTAAATAATATTTAGTTTTTAATATTCAGACTGAACTGAGGTCATAGACTCAAAGCCTGGCCTACACCAGAAGCAACAATCCTAAACAATTAACAAATTTAATATAAAATGAATTTCTTCTGCCACACGACTTCTACATATCTTTATGCTTCAGACTTCTGCTTCCCACAGAGAGCAGACTGTGAGTACAGTGGCCCCTTCCAACATAGTCCCACAAACAAAACTCCATTCCGATTGGCTGACACATCTCAGAAATCAGACTGTGTCCTTATACTTTTGACAGAAATCAAGAGGATTTTCTGGTATGGATTATCCCAATATGCAATGTTCAGCCTGACATCTTATTTGATGGCCCAGACATGGCGGTTGTAAAGGATACAGTTTTCATCCCCTTCTGAATTTTTTGGAGGTCCAGGCATGTTGAGCAGCACCAACTTGGCGTCATGGGACCTGTTGACAATCACCTCATTGAGCTTCACTGCTGTGTGCATTCGTCGTACATTGGACTGGTCCCTGTGAGACAGACAAGACACCAGTTAAAATGTGGGAGAGTATTACTCCATGATGTCAAACACACGATACACTAGACTGCAGAGTCAAGTCAGGCAAGGCTGCACCATCTAACTTCTTACTTCAAATGTGTCAATTGCTTAGAGACCAGGAAAGATCAGCAGATGTCTACACTGCCATTTGAAGGACAAAACTATGAAGAACTACATGAACCAGCATGCAACACAGCATATTTACAGCTTCCTCCACACCCTAACAGCATGAGGATACAGACCCACACAAAAAGGAACCAAGAGTGGAATCAGACCAGATGATCAAACAGATAATCCCCAGCTGAAACCCAAGGCTGGTAGACCTCCGAACCAGCGGGGGGAGCTAACTCACGGCTTGATGCTGATGAGTTCACGGAAGTTCTCTGGTGCATTATTTCTGATCCTCCTCTCCCCATTCAACTTCTCCTTCGTCCAGGTCATCTGGATCCTCTCTGCCACCGGCTCCCCCAACTCATCCTCCTCATCAGAATACAGGCTGCTCATGTGGATCATGGAGTGTCTGTCCTTCACTAACTGTGCCTGTAGAAGGAATGGTGATCACCTTACTGTCACTGAAGCATTTTCCACTCTCTGAAAAGATTACACACTTCCAGAATACATGATACTATTCTGCTCTCTTTATTAACTACAGATCACTTGTAAGATTTGCTTTGTTTTTGCAGTGATGATGATGATGATAGTAACTTAATTTTCAGCTGTCAGGCTGGACAATCGCAGTTTGTGATGTATGCCTGCACTGCACTTACCTCCCGGTCTCGTTCGGCACTGGACAATCTCATCTGCCTCAGCATCTGTGACCTCTGCTCCATCATCAGAGTGCGCTCATACGTGTAGGCGGAGATGTCACTGTCGTGCTACAGCACAGTGAATGAACACAAACAAGAGTTTAAGGCTTCACGTGTTTCACGCAGCCTGCAGGCCCTATAGAAGAAGATTTTAACATAGAACACAATGTTGTTATTATTGTAGCATGAAATAGGTTAAGGACATAGAGGATTTAAATTCAAGCCTGGCTGAACAACTCTACTCCAAGGTAACTTTCTTTAAGCAAAACATACAGATGTACAAAGGGGTAAAAGTTGGTTTGGAAAAACGTGTCATGTTATAAACTAAATTTAATGCAAATGTGAAATGGTGTATTGTCAACATGAGTGTAAACCAGAGCAGAAACAATGCAACTTTCAAGATACAGCAGAACCAGAGATGGTAATCAGGATTGAAATGTCCATATTAAGACAAATATGGCAAAGCACTTACACTGCGCCTTGATGTGGAGATAACACTGTCATGCTAGAACCCTCAACACTATGCTGCAACATAGCTCAAAATATCATTGGAAAAGAGGAACCCAATTCAGGCTGGAGGTGTCTTCAATTGAGGAGGTCTACATACTTCAAAAGGAAATCACTTCAGGTCTCATTTAATTTCTTGTCTGCACGACCAATAAAAACCGGAGAAGCAGTAATGTGTCTGTGTTGGACTGTTCCTCCTCTTACCATCTCCACCACCTCCACCTCAGCCTCTATCCTGAGCTGGTACAGGAAGGTGGCCAAGTCCTTCTTCATTTGGATGCTGTTGTCGTCCATTTGTGCCACTGTGAAGATACGCATCTTGCACTTCCTCCAAACCTAGAATGCACCACAAAGGGGGACAATGTTGAGTCATGCCTGCAAGAATCTATGACAGCAGAGCTAGGATCAACCTGATGTTTTTTCCATAACAGTTATATTCATCAACACAGAGATTAACCTGCATGGTATTCTGAAGCACCATGTGGGGAACTACCAAAGGTGGAGAGTTCAGGTCCAGGAAATAAAAATCCAGACCATGATTTTCTTTCAACCAACCAGTTGAGTCACAGTCACAGAGTACTCAACTGGTTGGTTAAAACAAAATCTTGGTCTGGATTTTTATTTTCCGGACCTGAACTCTCCACCACTGGGAACCACGGTCTCTGGTATGAAATGTGTCTGTGATCCTGTGGGATCTGCACCTTGTGCTGCTTGAGGAGGAACGGCAGGAGCATCAGCATTCCTCCATCATGAACGATCCAC